AATCATTCAGGTATTAGACATTGTATAAATGAAACATTCATCTGTTTGGGTTGAATTTTTCTCTTTTAGATAAAAAATTTTGTATCATATAGTTGGAGTAAAAGAACATTGGATTAAATTCCAACAACCCCGTGGTTGTAAATTCTCATGTCTCTAAACCCGTCCTAGGAATCTGCCCACAAGCTGACGTTATTGCTTTTTAGTTTTTGATCAACTTTTATTACTTTAAAAATTGTCTGCATCCAAATTTTATAGAGAGCAAATTCCACGTATAATACATATGGCTGTAGTTCTTAATGCTCTTTTGTAACTTTTTGTTTCCTTTGAACAAGAAAACAAGAAAGCAATTCACTTCTTTTCATACTGAAGAAAAATCACACCATTAGATTTTCATGTTCAAGAGAATTTTAAAAGCTGCTAAAGGGCACTTCTAATTCACTCACTACTCTTTGGGGAATACTGCAGTCTAAGACTCTATCTTCCCCTGAGTGTATATTTTTGGGCATCACATTTCAATGTATTTCATAATTATATGTTTTCATGATCCCTAATTTATAATTTGTTGAATTTAAATGAAAGTGTAGGAATGACCTTGTCTCAACAACAAAAAACGCATAAATTTATTTGAGCCAGGTGACAATAATGAAAAATTTAAGGAAAAAATAGTGACTCTAAGTGGATATTTTTGTCTTTTTTTCTGTTGTGATTATGGGCACTAGGTACTCAATTGTAGAAATATTTAATTTCTGAGCTTTCTTCTTCAAATTTTTAGAAGTGTTTCTTAAGATAAAGTACAAATAGTTTTTAAAAGAATGTGTTTGATTAGTGAGCTAACTGCAGGCCTTTTTATTCATTCTTGAAAGTGTGGCAAATAGACTACATCTTTTGAGGTATCTGTTGAGGATTTACTTTTAAAAATGGGGAAAAAACATTTCAAAGGCAAATACAGTGCAAGAATTGGTAATCTAGTTCTCTACCCAAGGGAAACTAAAAGCTTAACAAATCCTTTGTTAACTACTAGTTGCATTTTCAACTGAAAAAAAAATGTATATATAGATGAAAGAACTATGATTTCATGCAAGTCATGAACCATGTTACCATTTGTTTGGGAAACCTACTGTCTTTTATTCAGGGCATGAATCTCATTACTGTACATTTGTCTTTGTAAACATAGTGTTAGTATGTCTAAGAGCAAGAAATGATTTTGTGTCTACAGTCTCAGATGAACATCACCCTCTTGATTTTCTTCATTTCATTGGGTTTTGAAATAATCACTGGAAAGTAGATGACAGCTGTAACTGCCAAGATACGATTTGGTCAAAGGGGTTGTTTAGCTTTCATCCTGTAATCAGAGCTGACAATCTTAAGAAAGACAAAGATCTCGTGTTTGCTGGATGGATACTAATGAAAACCACCAACAGAGTTCAAACATC